TCTCTGGCTCCGGGTCAATCTCGTCTAACAGCGGGCGCAGAAGACCAGCCAGTCTCACCGCTGTGTCTCCAGCATCCGCCCCGCGAGTGCCTGGCCTCTAGGAAGCATTCTCCAAACATCTGCGGCTCCCTCTCAGCCTTCCCATCCCGGACCCCATCTTGCTGATGTCTCTCCGGCCCCCTTTCTTTCTCTCTCGGCCCGGTCCGATCGGGTGTATTCCGCCTCCTTCCGCGGCCCACCTGCTGTCGGTATCCGGAGAGGGTCCGCCGCCGCTCGCGACGCCGCGGGTTCGCCAGGCTTCGAAGGGAGCTGACCGTCCGCGGACGAGCCAGCCGGGACCGGAACCGGAGTCCATGCGCCGAGCGGCAGGGGCAGCCAGCCAATCAGGGGCCGGCGGCATAAGCTGATATGACGGCGGATGGCGAGACTTGGCTGCGGGCGGTTCTCCGCGGTCACGTGGGCGCCGTGCGCTCGGCCACGCCCCCTCCCCTCCAGACCGGAGGCGGGGCGGGAGCCCGGCTCGCTCAGGCGCAGAGGTGGGAGCCTCGGGTTTTGTCTTTGCTGGCGTTTCAACCGCCCCTGGTGTCTTCCAGAGTGTTACGAAGCAGGCTTACGGTGAGGGTGCAGGCATTCCCCCAAACGAGGCTCTGTCTTGAAGGAAACAGATGACATTTCCTTTGAATGTCGGAGACATTTTCCTACCCCAGTGAGGGAGGTAAAACGTCAGTCCTGTTGCTCACGTTTTCAACCCGGGATCTGACCCTTTTAGAGCACTGAATTGCTGGAACCTGGATGAATCGATTAATGTAGGTGTTTACTATGACAGAACTCCTTTCATAGTACCGAGTGTTACAAAACAAAGTTACCGCAAATTTAGTTCAAGGATCGTACAGACTTTTATTTGGGACTTATAAATCGGGGTAGCTTCCCATTCAGTGAAATAGAAGAAGAACGCCTATGAGCTGAGCAGAGGAGATAGGCAGAAAACGGCTGAAGAAAGCAAAAATAAGGGGGAAAAAGACCGCCAAGTTATTTTCCTTATAGGCTTAAAAGAAAGGGAACTGATTTGTCCTAACAACTCAAGAAAACTTGGCCTCTTCTGATGGATGCGGTGAATCTCTGGTGTTTGGCCGGGAGGCAGGGAGAACTGGCCCATTTCAAAGTTCAGTTTCATGAGGCGACATTTAGCACAAGTGACTCCACTCTGATTTGGTCTGATCTGCTGGGGCCTAGTGCTGGAGTCTAGTCCAAAACAATGGTTTCCCAGAAATTTCATTAAACAAGTTAGTGCAAATCTATGCAGTGTAGACAGGAATGTCTGTAGGCTCCCAGAGGTTTGCTTTGGTATGTGAGTGTGTAGTTGTGCTTGATGGCTTTAACAAAATTGAATTATGGCATCACGCTTGTAAATCAACTTTCCTGGAGGTCTCAAGTGCAGTGGTTCTCCAAGTATGGTCTTCCAAACAGGAGAGTAAGCATCAAGTGAGAATTTACTCGAAATGCAGATTCTCTGGAGCCACCCCAGACTTTCCAGATCAGAAATTTTAGGAGGTCCCGGTAACCTGTGTTTTAACAAGCCCTGGAGTGATTCTGATGTTTGATAAAAGCTTGAGAGCAACTGCTCTAGTAAACTGGGCCAATCAGAAGAAAATCTGACTAGTCATTCAATTTTGATCTCTCTAGACTGATAAATAGAAAATACTGTAAAAGTGGGAGATGGCTTAGTTTGGGGAAGATCATTTGTATTTCCTTGTAGAACCATCAGAGTTGTTACAATTTGAGAAAAGACATCATTAGACTCCAGTCATTAGAACAGTATATATGAGTATTCTTTTACATATATTTTGCTTGCCCCCTTTTTTTCTAAATCACATTTATTCTTGTTTGTTTCCTTTGTTATTTCATCTCATAGTTTTTTGAGATTTAGATTTTTACATTCATTTCTGGGGAATACAAAAACATGGCTTAGAGCGGGGCTCAGTGGCTCAGCCTAATCCCACGCCTTTGGGAGGCTGAGGTGAGTGAATTGCCTGAGCCCGCGGGTTTGAGACCCTCCTGGGCAGCGAGATCTCATCTCTACAATAAATCAAAAAATCAGCCGGGCATGGTAGCACATGCATGTAATTCTGGCTACTTGGAAGGCTGGGGTGGAAGGATCGCCGGAGCCCAGCAGGTCGAGGCTGCAGTGGCCGGCAGGGTGCCACTGCACTCCAGTCTGGGGCGACAGAGTGAGACTCTGGCTCAAAAAAAAAAAAAAAAAAATCCAGGATTTTAACCCACCTCTTTCACAGAAGATTTGACCTTAAACCATGTCTTTAAACTAGTACTAAGAATTGGTAGCATAGAGAATGCCATTTCCTCTTTTAGCACCTTGTTTATGTTTATGTATTTAATGCATTTGTTATAAGCAATAATGAAACATTTAAATTTCAATGGGCGTTTTGGGAAATTCACAACTAAAGTCTGTAAGCTGCTCTGGGAGTTTAAGGAGACATTTCTCCTTCTAAAATCATCCCTATGAGGATAGATGCATTAATTTATGTGCCATGTATATGAAAATTAGACTACTTAAGTCATATTCTACCAATGTCTTTGACCCTTATTATTCTAGTTGTCAGTTTTTTAAAAAAATCCTCTAAGGATTAAATCTTTAAACAAAGTCTCCCATCACACACTTCCCCCATTTATGTACTGTGATTAGGAATTATTCTAAGCCTACTGAAGTCGCAGATTCAAGTGTAACCCAACAGAAGAAGGCAGATAGCCTCACCGAGGTGCCTACAACAGGAAATGACTAAATGCAAGTTTTTAATTTCTGTGAGACTCCTAAAAGAAACCCCCAGAGGAGAATTACGACCCTTCGATCTCCTTGAAGAACGGGGAGTCATCCATTGATCTCCATTGCTGGTTCGGGCCACCAGCATTTCTCACTTTGATTGCTTCAGAGGTGTCTAAACACCTGTCTAGTGGTCTAAACGGGTGTCTAAACACCTGCCTAGCGCTCACGTCATCTGACATGTACACTGCAGCCAGGGTAGGAGTTGAAAGACATGTGCACTTCCTTTGTACCCGGTGATGGCGTGGCCACAGCGGGAAGGTCACTTCACTAGTATCTCATCACCTTCCTTGTCTTTGCTCTCCCTGTCCTTGCAGCCCCAGGGACACACACCTCTTTCTCTACCCCAGCCAGATGGAATCAGGGGGATCCCACCAAGGCATCACCTGGTCTCCTCCCCGTGAAGGCCCGGGGGCCAAGTGGCCCTGCAGTGGGGAGGTGCCCCCATAGATCCCAACCTTGGGTTTGCATCGCGTCTGTGCTGCTTCCCACCTCTGCTACCTGGGCAAGTTTTGACCTCTCTGTGCCTCCGTTTCCTCCTCCGTAAGGTGGGGATGAAGTAGTACTTTTTGGCAGTTCACGTGTGTGATGTGCAGAAAATCCTGCCTGGCGTACAGTGGGTACTATGGGGTTGCTGTCTCCATATTATTTTTTTAAATTCTGGAACACTCTTCCATTCTCCCCTGGCTAGCTTTCACTTGTCTGATGCTTTCTTTAGTTTTTATCTTTTTTTTTTCACAGTCAAATAAATCTTTATTTTTTTTTATTATAAAGATGTTGGGTACAATTCAGGGTTAGGTATACGAACGTTGATTATGCAGGTACCCTTGCTGATGAGGTGTGCCCCTCCCTCCCCTGGCAGTTTCCCTCAACTGCCAATCCCACCACCCCTCCCCTTACAGTTTCCCACTACTGCCAATCCTTTTCTTATAGTATTATGATAATCGTTCAAGGTCCGCTTATGAGTGAGAACGTATGGAACTCTGCTCTTTGTTTCTGTGACAGATCACTCAGTAGATCGACTCCAACTCCATCCAAGTTGCTGCAAAGTCCATACATTTGTCCTTCTTTATGGCTGCATAATATTCCACTGTGTATATGTACCACATTTTTTTTTATCCAGTCCAGCTTTTTATCCTGTCTTTAGCTCTTGTCTTAACTGTCATTCTCTTTTATGCTCTCTGTCTTGTTCTGTCTCTTTACTTGAGGCTTTCTCTCTGGATTAACAGTTCCCTTTTCCCCATGTATTGACTTCTACTTATCATACTATATAGCAGGCACATTTTTAAGTTCCTGTATTGCCCAACAAACTGTAAACTTGTGAACTCAGAGACTGTGTCTCTCCTGCTCAGTCTGATATTTCCAATGTCCAGCGCAGTGTCGGAAATGCATGAGATAATAAATATGTGTGACTGAGTAATCGGTTAGTGATTTTTTACTAATAGCAGTTACTTAACTTGTTGAAAAATACCATGAGCATCTGTAGAGACCCTCCATTCATATAACTATGCTATTAGCAAGCTCTTGGCGAATGTGTGTGTGTTTGCGCGTATGTACGAGTGGAATAGATGTATATTGTGTCATTGCAAAACATTTCCAAGTTCACCTGATATGTGAAGGCAGGCATTAACAAAGATCTTTAAGGTAATATCCAAACAAAGAGAAGTGAAAAAAATTACTATGTGAAGGACTTAGACACTCTCCCAAATTCTCATTTTATTGAGAACATAAAAAAATGCTGTGAGGAAAGGATATTGCTGAAATTTTGATTGATGTATCATTTAGCTTTGGTCCGTCTCTGAGGTGCCCTACAGAACTCTACAAGTTTAATCTATTACATTTTTTGAATAAAAATTAAAATTACTTCTGGGAAATTCAGATGCTTGCTGGCAATAGTAATACAGTTGAGTGAAAAAGAAATGTTAAGTTGTGAGGCCTGATGTTGCCTCTCCAAGCTAAAGAAATACTGAGGGTGCCAAAAAAAACCCACAAAAACACAAAAAACAAAGCACATTTTAGGAGACGTTGTCTATATTTTAGTTTGCTGTAATCAGAAGTGTCTGGATGCTGATGGGAACCACTTTGAGTACCTCTTGTAACTGTAGAAGTTGAACATGACTTGTGTTCATCTTTTGTTATTGGTATGTATTGAGTATGACAATTTTAGTGCAGTGCTATCCTTTCTTAGAATGTCTATGCATTTTTGGCACCCACTGTATTATATATATGTGCACACACTCAGTAATTCATAGACTCACACGAACACACACTCCTGGTTTACTGAAGACTTTCGCCCTTGGAAGGCGTTACACGTGAAGAATGTCCGTTTCCTTGTCGCCGGTCTCCAAATGTGCGGGGTCATGATCCCCTCTTGCTAATCAGCAATATCCCCAATGACCACATGACCAGATTTCATCACTTCCCGTCATGCGTTCTAACAGTCCCTTTCTTATACTTCTTACTCAATCCCGTTTATT